TGTGCTAGTATGAAGGAATATATCTAATTATAACCTACTGACATTAAAAGAAAGGAGGAGTCTTGGCAAAGAGCAAAATGCGATAGCACAGCCATTAAAAGAAAAAGCAAAGAATAGGATCATGAGAATTTTACAACCTCAGTCTCATGTGATGGATGGTAAGTAAAAGATGAATACATGCAATATAGGGGAAGATCAGAAATGACTCCACTAAGTCTCTGTCAGAACACAAAAACCCTGATATAAGAGTACAATATAGTCTAAAACTAAACTGCTGTTGGGAATCAAATACAGCACAGCTTCTAAATATGTATTATCCACCAAGGAGAAAAAATGTTTTGGAGCTATTGGTCTTGGTTTGCATTTTCTTTTTCAGAAAAACTAACACTGGCAATAACTGGGATTACAAGTGTAATTATTAAAAATATTTTCTATATGTATTTGGAAAAACATACAGTCCAATAACTGAGCTAATTTTAAAAGCTTCCCTTGAAGGCCAGCTGTAGCAGTCTGCGATAGTATGATCCTAATGGAGGACATAATTTATATATGTTTTTCCTTTGGAGAGTTACTGAAAAGCACTGGTTTGCTGTTGGATATTTCACCATCTTTCCAGTTCCCTCCTAACCCTTCAGAAGTCTTAGTTGTGAGAGCTCAACCTGCTACCATAAAAATAATGTGACCCATGTCACCACCTTTAAAATACACATCTTGCTAAGTGAAAGCAGAAAAAAAGCTTCCATATTCATGCAACAGGCTTTATTACTAAGTCAGTGCTTACGGTCTGGGATCATTTTTGGAACAGCTTTTCATTCTGTAGTCTGCTGCTGCTTTTAAGGAGGCTTGCTTAATAAAGCACTCATCATCATCTCATGAAAGATATAACATCAATGAATACAGTCACTATAAAGATAAGAAAATATCACTTTACTTAGAAAACATTCCCTTTTGGATCATAAAAATTGTCAAAAATTACTTTTTATGTTAAAAAACTCAAATAAACCCAAATAAATGAAACCAGTAGCTTCAAAGATTAATTCACAAGAAACTCTAATTATTTTTGTAAATATATTTTGCTTCTCAGTAGGAGACGAAGGAAAATAAAACGACACCTCCTACTGAAGGGCAATAAATGCAATAGGTTCAAAGCTTCAGTGACTGGTATTCCAAGAAGCTGAAAAGACTGCACAGACCAGTAGCATAGGCAGTACTGTCACTAACAAAGTCTTCTAGATTTAATGATGTAACAGCTGAGTACTACTTCACATGCAACTGAGCACACGAGCTGCTACATAAGTCATAGGTGCTAAATTAAAACCATGCCAGTATAGGTGAAAACTGGGAGACAAAAAATATCAGATGATCCCTGCTTAATCACTTAATCAGTTCCCATCAGTTTCTTTCAGTAAACATTTAGGTATACTGTCAACATTTGTAAAAAAATGGGTTACTTCTAATCTGTAGTGATTTGAGTAATGTCTGTTGAATCAACAGCCGTTAGAGGGTGGAGTCCCAGTAGCTGTGCATTAATTCTACCAGAGTTTCACTTCCTTCATTAGCTGCAGAGAACCTTAAGGTAAAAGAAAAAGAAGATGGTGGGAGGAGGGTTGTCAGCAATTCAAGGGAAGTGAAAAAAAAAAAAAAAAGGAAAAAGGATTCCTATTTTTCAGGCAGGAATTATCTCAAATACTATGCATTTTTAAGGAGTACAAAGGAGGTGTGATCTAACTGGGAACTCAGAGTATACCAAAATAAATTACAGTAAATTGATAAAGAGACAGCACATGAGAAAAAAGGTATGCCTCTGGCGGGAAAAAGAAAGTGACTCTTGTCCTGACTAGTAGACTATCAAGTGTCTTTTACTGTTACTAAATAGTAGGATTTTTTTCCAGAGTTTTAGAATTAGCTTACCTCAAATACAGCTTCATCTCTGTAAGAAGGAAAATTTTCCAGTATGAGATGTAGCAGTTTCTGAGCACTCTTCTCACTCATTTTAACACAGGTGAGGAAAGACCCTCCAAATTTCTCTAACAGAACTATTCCACTTTCGTTCAGCACCCGGTGTCTCTCTTCAATCAAAGGCAAAGGCACTTCTGTGTCAGAGCGAAATACGTGCCTAACTTGGTCAAGCGTCATGGTGGCAAAATAGGACGCACTGGTGATAGGTATTCCTTCAGAAAAGTGAAAACAAGATATTTAGGCTATCATATAACATAACATATAGACCTAGTGCAGTGGTCTGCTAAAGGAAAGCACTTCTATAGGAAGATCTAAGAAGTCCACCAACTCTTAAACCCACCTTTGCTTTCAGCAAAACTGCCTTCACAGAGCTGCTCAGAACAAAATTTACGAGTGCATACAATGTTTTCTTCTACAGCAAACTTCCAACATACAACCATAGAACTGTTGTTACTTTTTGTATGTAATTCTTCCCAGCTGCTTGGTTTTCGTATTTTAAGTGTGATGTTTACATAGCACACTGGCAAATACAGTAAGTACTTAACTAGTTTAGTCAGAATAGGCCTGTTTTCCCATGGATCCTAATCATGCTGTGGATTTACAAAAAGTATCTTAATGCTAATACTCCCTTAATTTACTAAATAACTATGCAGAAAATTAATTAAAACTTTCATCTATACCTACTAACAGTTGGGGGTTTTTTGTGAGAACAGCAAAAAGAGTGAGTGCTAAAGTACTGGGTTTAAATCCAAAAGTTTAAAATACTGGTTTTAAAATACTGGTTTGAGGGGCATATGGGTTTTCAGATTTACTTTAGACACTGCTATTTGATTAGTCTAGAGGATTCTTGCTTTATGCCTCAGTTTTTCATTTGCCACGGAAATATGTAACTTAAGAATACATGTGAAATAACCCAAGTCATGCACAGCTGACTACTGGCAATCCTTAAAGTCTTTTGAAAGGAAGAGATAACCCAGATACAGCCACGAGTTAGGTAGTTTCAGTACAAGGGTATTTTGAAAGCACTTCCAGTTCCCCTCCCCAAGCTCAACGGGACGCCTGCACATACAGAGCTACTGACACAGCGAGCAGCAGTTTCCAAGAGCGTGTCCCAGATCCGAGGCGCCGCTTTCATGTAATACACGACGCTCGGCTCCCGACGCCCCTCGCCCGCAGCCCCGGCCCGGTCCCGCTTCCCCGGCGCTCACTGACCGTCGTCCAGGGCCCTGTTGACGGCGGCGCACAGCGACCAGTAGCCGCTGTAGGTTTTATCCTTGTACTTCACAAGGTACTTGCGCTCCTCCTGCTCGGACCAGAAGGAGAAGTTGAGGGTATCCACTAGGAACACCCAGTCTACAGCCTCCTTGTCGGCAGCCCGGGGGTTCAGCTCGTGTAGGCTTTTCCACCCCGCCAACCCGAACTCCGCCGCCGAGGCTTTGTCGAACAGGCTCTCCGCCACCCGCCGCGCTCCCTCCTCGTCCACGGAGACATCTTTGCTGTGCTCGGCTATGAACTTGGCAGACTCCAGGGGAGACGGGAACACCTCCATGCTTGGCAGGAAACACGCACGCTGCCGAGGCCAGCCTCTCCGCCGCGATTCCCGCGGGGCGCGCACGGGCAGCGGCTCCGGCCGCGCACCCCGCTCCCCGCCCCGCGGCGCTGCCGCTGCGCGCAGGCGCGGGCGGAGGCGGGGCTCGGGCGGCGCTCGGGGCGGGGGCGAGCACGGATCCCGGGCCCCGGGGCGCTTGGGCCGGCAAGCTCGTGTAGAGTCGCCCCCTCAAATTCTGCCAGGCTATAGCAGTGGGCAGACTCAGCTTCATAATAGCGAAGTTTTCCAGAAGATTCCCATCATTGGAAAAGAGAGGGATAAAAACAAAACAAAAAACTTGACAGAGGAAGGATCAAAAATGTGGATATTGAGTTGTTGAGCTTTTCCCCGATCAAAACAGAAAAGAACCAAACGAAAGACAGCCCAAAACCCCTTTTGCACACATACACAAGCTGGAAGCACACAGAGAAATTCAGCCTGTTTCAGTTAACTTGCATTTTGCCCAAAACCTTAGCCTCGATTGCAGACTAGAAATTCTCTAGAATTTAGGCACCAAGCTGTGTACCTAGCCAGCTGACTTCCTACTGACTGAAGAGAGCAATGGTATTTCTCTCGACAGAATTCACTATCGCTCTGCCAAGGGAGCAGCCTTACGCATAAGATTTCAGGCCCCTCGCCTTTACCATGCCATTTTAAAGAGCAGCTGCGTTAAAAAGAACAGGTTCACACGCCACAAACTGGGGGGGAGAAGGAGGCACAACAACCAACCAAAGACAATAAAAGAATCTTCACTTAGTCTGGACCCATCATATGGTGCCACACACCTTTACTTTTTAATCTGTTTTTATTCAGGAAGTGAAATTAATAAACTATAAATACAAATGCCAAGGTATTACAGGAGATATCCAGAGGCGTTATATTTTTTTAAATTTCTCACAAATAATTCTTACGGAACTCAACACACATCTGGGAAACAAGTTGAAGTTTTGCATACAATGGAAAACAAGTTACATAGTTGTATTTCATCTTGCCAATTCGCAATTCCTACCTCATACAAACAAAAGCTCAGGAAACAGGTATAATTTATTCAGTAATGGCAGAGCAACTCTGCATTAAGCAAGCTGTCTAAAACCAGGTGTACTTTACAACTGTTTATTCAGTGACATCACGAAATTTTAAAGTATTTTATTTATATACTGTCACCAATATATATATGTATTGCAAAGAGGGCCAAACACTTGCAAAAAAGTCAAGTTTTACACATTTGCGTATTTTCACCTTCCCCCCCTCCCCAAACAGCAAAGCAGTCATTGTTTTCACACGATCTCTTTAATTTGCCAAAAAAACCCCACAGAACTCCACCTATATATCAAGGAAACGGAAGAGCAAGCTTAACAGAAACTTTAATTTATAAGGAGAAAAAAAACCAAACTAGGTGTATCCATTTTAGTTATGACCTTATGTAGACCTGAAGAAAAATGACCACCAAGAATAGGTTCACTAAATTTATTTAGAAATCCTAAAATGTTTCTTACAAAAATGCATTACATTCTGCACACTGCTCTCAACAAATGCCAGGGACATGGGGCCTACCATATTCTCCCCCTTCAAAGTAAGATACAGTGTACATAAAGCAGGATGTTCACAACAATTACAGAAAAACGGTACAATTTACCACCAACAATGAACAAAAATAGAATCCATTCTCTCTGCCACTTCAAAATTTCAATGTTAGTCTTGTGCGCCCTTCCCCCCCATGTATCTGTAAGGAACTAAAACATTACATCTGGTGTACAGCAAAGATTCCACTACACCTCAAATGCAGAACACCTATGAAGCAGAGGAATGTTGGCTTTTTAAACAGAAGCAGATAAAAAAAAAAAGGGTGCAGGACTCCTTCAGTTCTTCACTAGTCTTAGAAAAACTTTCCAGAATACTGCTTCACACTATAAAAAAGAAAAAATAATCTTGCATTAGAATCCTTCAACATCTGCATACTGCTTCACACTATAAAAGAAAAAGAAAAAAGCATGTATTAGAATGATGGACCATACATCTTGCATCAACATTCATAAAGCATATTAAATTACAAATTACTAATACATTTAAAAATACACAATTTTAAAATGTCAATGGCTAACAATTATATTAGTGTATTTCAGGCAGAGTTAAATATTAGTAATCTAAAGCCAAACATTCCAGTTAAGATATTAAAACTGCTATAGCAGCCATAATGTTAATACAGCAAATGCTATCTGTAGCTGTTAATATTTGGCAGAAAAGGCAAAGTACTATCAGCAAGGTGTGAAATGCTGCATAACAGCCCCAAATCGATTTCAACTTGTCCTGTAGAGGCATGGCCTGTGCCATATGGCAGACTGTGATTTGTTGTCAATTTAGTTATCTAAAAACAACAAAATCACTAGTCTTCCACACAGAACTAGACCAACGTCCACTGAAATCTTCTATATTTTCTACAGGCTCTATGTAATTTATTACAAGTAGTTTTTTTGCAGCAGTTTTCACCAGAGAAATGAGAGGACTGCTTGGTTAAGATGTCTTCCAGCAAGATTATTTTTGAGGGTGTCTTCATTTTAATTAGAATGGAGAGCAGAAGAGAATCAAGCCAGAACTACCACTAGAGAAGTTAGGTTCAAATAGTTACTTAAAACCTGCCTTCTTAAAAAATTGATTCACAGAGGAGAGCTGTTTCGTAATATACATGTTAATTTGACAGTACAGACAACATTAAACTTTTACTTGCCTGTTCTGCAGCAAATACTGTGCATTTTGTATCTGGTCCTGTGTTCCTGTAATAGTTATTATCCGATCTTCTGAGCCTTCTAGTGGTTCATCAATTTTGATCGAAGCTCCTGACTCATGACGTATTTGTTTGATTCTCTGGCCTCCCTTTCCAATAATAGATCCTGCCAACTAGTGAAGAAAGTAAAAACATTCATTTCCTGATACAATTGCCTTTCCAAAAAGTTAGAAAATTACAACAGCATTTGAGTAGTTTCCACAAATACAGTTTTAAGTGTTGCAATGGGAGCTTATTTCTTTATAGCCTAAAAATATCCCCTGCAGTATGAACTGTATAAACACAGCTGAGATAAAACTGGGAAAACCAGCTCTCATTTGCAAAATATGGGTTACAAGGACCATATCTATTACTGAGTATTAACCACAAGTAGAATTCTTTAACGCATCTCTGAAGACAGAAACCAAACAGTCAAGCAATACACTGCTGGCAATTTAGAAACACTTGTTTTGTATTAGAAGTACTTAAGCATTTTAAGTATTTCAGATTTACTTAAACAGTCTCAGAAATGGCTGTGACTTTTTTTTATGAGAAAGCAAATCAACTTTACTTACATCTTTGGGAATCGTTACTTGTGTTGTGATGATGGGTCCACCAAGATCTCCATATGAACCACGCCCCCCTGCGTAAGAATAATCTGATTTAAGTGTATGCATCAAGCCCTTTAGTAACTACACAATGAACTACATGCAAAGGTTCTATATGAACACTTACCATAACCAGAGCCACCCTCAAACTGTAAGAGAAAAAAAACATTAACGTGAACAGCCATGTTTCATTAACACATTTTTATCTTAAGCATTATATTGCTAACTTTGACCGCATTTAATCAAACATCACAACCCTCAATCTGATATAAATACAACAGTGTTATGGCATCAAGAGCATCCTGAGGCAAAGATGGAAGACCAGAAACGAAAGGGATGGGTGGGAGGGATCTCATTAACTTCTGTCCATCTGGACCAGAGGCCATCTTGTGCAGGACCACAAGTTGGATGCGATGATTCTTGTAGGTCCTGTCCAACTCCAGATATTGTGTTTCTTATCCTGCCCTATCAAAACCTCTAAGAATAACACATAAAATGACAAAGAATTCAGCCATGCCAGTCTACCAAGGCAGTCTCACCACCTCAGCTTCTTGCAGACAGCTGTTTATGCTGATCTACTTGTGACCTCAGTACTAAACATCAGAATTACAAAATCAGAGTAGAGCCTTTTTAATACTACCATTAATACAACTCAAAATAAACTCCAATCTCCAGTTCCAGGGCAAGAAGTCTGCCCAGCAAATCGTCTTACTACATCTACACCTTTGATTATATGTTTTTTCTAAGATGTAAAGGGTTTGTAGCAATCACAACATGAATGACTTCTGTTACATTTGAACCACCATATACCGAATGTAAATGACTGCAAAGAGCACTCCTGCCCTGTTATTTTTAGGATTTGTAAACCTGCATTTGACATCAAGTTCTCATTTCATCTAATGTGTTCTAAGTGTGCAAAACTGTGTATTTACACTTTGCTATAGAAGCAGAGAGTAAACATATGCAGTTATCTCAAATTCAACTTCTGAAGAGACTCCTGGAGTCTGTGAGAGGAGGCTGGCGGCTGCCTAAAGCTGAAACTTTAGCTTTAGATGTCAACAGCCAAGCTGGTGACATCTCCGTGATAATATTTAAGAAAAGACTAAAAAATTCCCAATGTGCACTGACTGCAAGGATGAGCAAGGATGAAACAAGTGCTCCAGGAACCGGAGTGGAGACTGCCCTGCAGCCCATGGAGAGAACCACACTGGAACAGATCACTACACCGCAGCCCATTGAGGGATGCTATGCTGACAGCAGGTAGAAATGACCAGAAGGAAGCCGCACAGGCAGATACTATGTCCTGTGAGAGAGGACCAACACCAAATTAGTCTGAAGGTTCTTGAAGGACTGTACCACACAAAGGGGACCCACACTGGAACAGTTCTCTAAGAACTGCAGTCCACTGGAAAAAGATCATTTGAGCAGCTCCAGCAGCATCATTCCATGGAAGGGACCCTACTCTGGAGTGGGGAACAATGCAGAGAGGAAGGAGCAGTGACAGGTGTGATGAACTGACTAGGAACTCTGTCACCCCTGTACCATTCATGGCAGAGAAACAGAAGAGTAAGGAATGAAGGAGTGAAAGCTGAGTCTGTGAAGACGTGGAAGATGGGTAAAGGTGTTTTTGTTTCTCACCACGCTATTCAAAGTGCGACTAAACCTACTCAAGCCAACTCTGTTTTGCCTATGATGTTAATTAGTAAGTGATCTGCCCATCTCCATCGGGAGCCACAGACTTTTCTGTCTTACTTTCTCCCCTCACTCTTCTAAGGAAGGGGCGTGAGAGCAGCTCCTGGGTAGGCTCCAGCAGTCAGTCAAGTTCACCCACTCACAAGTACGGGCCAATAGAAGTTATAATGTAACAACTTTCCCAAAAATATTCCTTACCATCTTTCTTTTTACATCAAAATGGAAGCTATTCAGATTAAAGTGGTGAGCTTATCATCCGTCTCTAAGCAACATGTATTGCCTAATCATGTTACTAAGCAATACATATCATAAAACAACGTAATGGAGCTCACAGTGGAGTACAAAATACAAGACAAAGAACGACTCTGCTTAAGGTTAAACTGAGAAGCTGATTACATAGCATACTGCATACACACACATATTGCTGCTGGTATTTGCCACAGGATACCTTTTTGGGCTAACTTCTTTTAAAGAAAATACCTTTCCTTGATCACATCTGCCTGTCCACACGACAAAACAACAGAATTTGATAGCAATTGCTGTGTATATAAGACAAGAACTGACTTTTAACATTAATTAATCAATAGTATTAATTTGGCAGCATTTTGCCATGTTCCAAGACACTGCCAACACCTGATGTTCTCTGTAATCTCAACAATGGAGTGACTACATCAGTAAACAAGAGAAGGGCTACAGGTATCATGCACCTGGACTTCTGTAAAGGCTTTGACATAGTCCCCACGTCCTTCCCTCCAAACTGGAGAGGGATGGATTCCATGGGTAGACTGTTTATTGAATAGGGATAGTTACATCCAGGGGGTAGTGTCAACGGCTCAGTTTCAACGGACATGAAGTGGCGTCCCTCAGGGACTGGCCTCCACTGGGACCGGTGCTACTCAGTGTCTTCATCAATGACACAAACAGATCAGGTACACCTGCAGCAAGTATGCAAACTGAGTGGTGCTGCTGACAGACCTCAAGGACTGGATGCCACCCAGAGGAACCAGGACAAGCTCAAGAAGTGAGCCCATGGGAACCTCATTCGATTTAACAAGACCAAGAGCAAGGTGCTGCACCTGAGCTGGTCCAATCCCCAGTACAAACACAGGTTGGGGGATGAACAGATGGAGCCCAGCCCTGCCCAGAAGAAGCTGGGGGTGCTGGTGAGTGAAAGGTGAGACATGACCCAGCCATGAGCACTTGCAGCCCAGAGTGGCAACTGTGCCCTGGGCTGCATCGAAAGGTCAAGCCTTGAGATCCCAACACGAGTACTGCATCCAGCTCTGGGGCCCCCAAACATTAAGGGCATGGACCTACTGGATTAAGTTTGGAGGAGGACCACAAAGATTTATTACAGGGATGCAGCACCTCTTCTGTAAGAGAGCCTGAGAGCTGGGATTGTTCACCTTGGAGTGGAGAAGGCTCCAGGGTGACCTTATTGTGGCCTTCCAGCTCCAGAAAGCAGCCTACAAGAAGGTTGGAGAGGAGTTCTCACATAGGCATGCAGAAGGAGGACACGGGGCAACAACTTTAAATTGGAAGAGTGTTGGTTTAGTTTAAGTACTGGAAAGAAATTCTTCACTGTGAGGGTGGTGAGGCTCTGGAACAAGTTGCCCAGAAAAGCTGTGGACACCCAATTATTGGAAATGTTCAAAGCCAGGTGCAATGGAACCCTGAGCATCCCAGTCTAGTTCAAGGTTCTCTACCCACGGCAGGTTGGAATTAGATGATCTTTAAGGTTACTTCAAACCAAAATCATTCTATAATTCTGTGATAACATCCCAAAACCTATCTGACCACATGATACATTTTCAAACAGACTGATAGGTAAACAAGTTCATTCACAAATGAAGTGAGAAGCTACTTTAAGTATTTGCTGCTCAAAATAAAATTCCACATTACGGAAGTAAAACAAAACATAAATTATAAATTCATGCATCTACAGTGCATCAGTTATGGAGCAAGCTACCATTTACCAAAATGAAAATACACTGTAAAAGAGGTAAAAGAGGTACAGAAAAGGTCCTCTATTTTTACCAGGCTGCTGCATAATTCCACATTTCTATTAACATTACCTGCCTTCAAAGGACACACCATTAATTCTGCCCCTAAAATCCAAGTCAGAAAAATGGCTTTATAAATTTTAATAGGCACAATTTGCCATGGACTACACTCAAGATCTCTTAGATTTGCTTTATCACTTAACTCATTCAAGAAAGCATCAATTTCAAAAAACAGGCTGAAAACACTCACCAACTCTGGTGGCTGCATGTCATCACAGGCATCCACATGACACTGCATCATCTTCCAGACACAACATAAGAGGAAGAACAGAAATCCAGGTCATACAGACTTTTAGAGAATGTTGCAATAAAACAGAATGCATAGTGGTACGAAAAAACCCTTACACTATTAACAAATACTTGAAATTATGTGATTTAGACCACTTTCAAGACTCACTGGCTTTTAATTTTACTTTGGGGCAACTCTAAATGGGAAACTCCTGTTTTCCTTCTCTTTCTGTGTTATTAGCAGATTCTTCCTCTCACTAAGAAGCTCAGAAACTAATGGCAAGGCAAAACTTAAGCCTTCTTTTTTCTTTCAGAAAACCTTTTTACATGTAAAAATACTTTATCAATATTTTATTTCTGCCATCTACTAGAAAAAGGTTTACTAAGATTGAAACAAGTAACTGCAAGTGATTATGCCAACTGCAGGTTAAGTAGGAAGGACACTGCTTCTTATGTTCTACTATCCACATACCTCATCTAGCCAGTAAGGAGACTAACAATCTACCACTACCTTCGTAAATTAGAAATTATTAACTACGTTTCTAAAACATATCACATATGGCATTTATTTCAGAATTTTACAGTTTCAGCAAATTATGTTTATTTGTGCAAAATGAGTTTCTGAAATAGTGTGTCTTAGCATACGTAACATTTTACACTGCAGACTAATTTGTGCTACTCACTACTCAGAACTGGAACAGAAACCAATGACAGATGGGCTGGATAAGGCAAAGAGCTTAACTTTTACATGTTATAGAAAACCCTGCAGGCAGTCCTAACTGATGTCAAATTCTTTAGTAGTAGGTTTTTCTGGTTTTTAAGATGGACCTAGGAAAGTGAAATTTTGTTACTTCCTTCCAGCATCTGCATGAATAAGCAGAAGAGTTGTCATACATTCTTCCTTTACTAATTTTAATATGCCTCTGAGAATGAGAGTGTTAAAAAATCCAGAAAACTCAGATTTTTCAGATCACCATAGCCCTTACGGTACACAGGATTTGACCTGTCTGTACTTTGGAGAAAAAGCTTCAGAACAAATTGTAAGTCAAATGAGCATATAAACAGCAGTACATATTCATACTACAGCTTTAAGCCAGGCTAACACACCATTATCATCTTAGGTGATTAACTCTGTATGGCCAAGAGGAATTTAGCCATCTTTTAAAATCAAAGTGGGTTTTTCTCCACTCAGCATTTACAAGACTGTCAATACTGTCATATCTCTGGAATACAGGAAAAACCACAGTTCAGCATCCAGTCTTAAAGACTGTCAACTGTTCAATCTTTCTGCCTTTAGTGAAAAAAAGAACTGGCAAACAAACTTGGTTTTGTACATTAAATTTTTCCAGTATTTTTGAGATGTTCATCAATTGTTGCCTTTTTTTACACCTATGTAGGATAGAATTCACGTGAAAAGAGCATTCCTACTCTCTAGGAGCAGCTTTTTCCATCACAAAACCACAGTAATACTGGTTTTGTTAAAACTTTTAGCTACACAACAGTTTCTATTTGATGCCTGTAGCACAGGAGGACTTTAGCTTTTGGCATAATACTTGAAGTTGTGTAGTCACACTCAGTGTGAAAATTTCCTTTCTGTTTACACAATTCAGGATACTAGAATCATAATTAACTAAAACTAGAAATTAAATACTGTCTTTGCTGGAAAGTAGTCCTCACTTCAACCGACTGTAACACTTGGTCACAAAGGAGCCAAAGTTATGAGCAGCTTCATTATGAAAAAGAAATGAAATTGCTTTTTTTTTTTTTTTTTTTCCATGAAAGAAACCAAACTAGCAGAAATTACTCCACTTGTGTGTAGAATCATGACAATAAAGTGAAGGTCAACCTGACAGGCTAAGCCTAAGATAAAATGGATTTTCTATTCTGGCTGAACTGGAATAAAAATAGAACAAAAATAGAACACACTACTGCCCAAGAGTCAAGCTAACTAAGACTGTGCTCAACCAAATACCCAAAGAAGGACAGGCTGCTTAGTTCATATACTCTAGCACAGGCTTCATAAGCTGCAAACAGAAGAACACAAAACCTAAGCTCTGAAAACATATAAATACAGATAAGAAATCTTGGAGGTGTACTTCTCCATTCTTCCAGTTTCTTAGCATGTAAAGTAGCATGGGAAACAGGGTTTTTTTTGTGACTGCAAATATTTGTAACTGCAAATCTTTTATTATTTCTAATAAGCACATGGCATTCTTGCAATTTGGAGTTCCAGTAACTCTTATTCTAGTTCATGTGAAGCCCATTTAGGTAGCCCATTTCATAGCTCCTTTTCATTTCTATCTTCTACATTAATTTAGAAGAAAAAAATAATGTGTCATCAGTCATCTTAAAGAAGGTGCCAAACAAAGCCAGAGGAGAAAAGAATATTGCTACTATAGAGATCCACCCCTGTTGTGGTTTAAGAGCAGCTGGCAACTAAGCACTACACAGCTGCTTGCTCACACACCCCCACCCAACCCCCAGTGGAACTGGGACAAGAATCAAAAGTAAAACTTACAGCTTGAGATAAGAACAGTTTAGTAACTGAGAAGAAGTTAAAAAACAAAACAAGGAAAACTAACAAAAACCTAAACAACCACCACGCCCAAAAAAAAAAAAAAAAAAAAAAAAAAATCAAGGATACATGATACAACTGCTCATCGCTCTGCTGACCACTGCCAGGCGCCATCCTCAAACCCTTATGAACCCCCTGCCTGGGTAACTGCCCCAGTTTATATACTGGTTATGATGTTCTATGGTGTGGAGTATCTCTCTGGCCAGTTTGGGTCACTTGTACTGATTATAATACTTCCCAACTTCTTTGGTGTACCTACTCATTGTCAGGGCATGAGACACTGAGCAAGTGCTTGACTTGGTATAAAATGCTACATAGGAAAACCGAAAACATCAGCACATTATCAACATTATTCTCATACTGAATTCAAAACACAGCACTGGACTAGCTACTCAGAAGAAAGTAACTATCCCAGCTGAAGCCAGGAGAACCTCCTGGATTTCCTACTGAGGAAAGAGGAAATGTTGTCTCAGAACAGCAGGTGGCTGCTGGAGCCTGGCAGTTCAGAATGCAACACAGAAGACTATCTGTATCCTTTGTTTTAAGCTTATACACACTATGAGATTTCTTTCTTCCTTCAGAAAGACCTGATGTAAGATTCAACTAAGCAGTGGTTCCACCTCCAAAACACTTGGAATTTAGAGTGGATTTTCTGCAGAGAAACTAGTAAATATAGAATTGATTCAAAAAAGCCATCACATTCCATCAATTAGAGCTCTTCTCATATGCTCTTCCACAATCCGTATTACTGTATCAATGCCCGTGTTTGCCAACCTTTAGTGTTAAGAATGCTCTGCTCGTGTAACTCACCAGAGAACATTGTTCTGACATGCTTTCTCTATCTGAAAAATCTCCCAATTGCTATTTCTGTCATGCTGATTAAAAAAATCTAAAATATGCCAGTGCAAGAAAACCTACAGAGCTGAGCACAATCAAAATCACTGTATCTTTTTAATGACAGGGAGAAATAAAGAAAACAGAAGAGTACCATTTACACCTCAAATCCACCGGAGGATCACTTGAATGGACAAAATATTTTGGTTTTACTACCAGAACTGTGTAAAGTGCAAGTAGTTCAGCAACAGGCGGTCAGCATGCTAACTGGGCCTAGGAACACAACAGAGCAAATTTTCAACTCATACCATGCCATCGTAACGGTCTCCCGGTCTGCCCCTTCGGTCATAGGACATCAGATCTCTAAAACAAAAAAGACAGCAGCATGTTAATTGTGTTGTATGTGTTATAAGCTAGCTTGTTTATCTGAATTTTCCTGTTCAGGGTTCACATCTAACTTAGTATCAAACTACTCTACCCAAGTTCTGAATAAGAGAAGTTCCAGAACTGCTGACTATAGTCCTGGCAACTTACTACATCACAGTAGGTAATTAAATTTCAGTAAATTTCAAAATACTCTTGTCTAATACAGGCTCAATCCTGCATAATCACTATCAACATGGAAGCATGGAAAAATCACTAAAAATATGAATATGACTCAGATATACAACATGAGCTTTTGTATAATGCTATTATCCAACAACTCACCCGCCACGAGGAGGTGGTGGAGGAGGAAGAGGAAGATTACGAGCTCTGCTGCCACCTCTAACACCACGACCTGGTGGAGGTGGTGGAGGTCCTCTGCGAGGGCTCATATCATCATAATCTCTTCTTGAGGGAGGCATGGGTCGTCCACCACGACCAGGAGGCATTCGATCAAAACCTCCTCTTCCACGCATTGGAAAGCCCACTGGCCGTCCCCTTCTATCATCAAACATCATTGTGAAGCCACCATAATCATATGTTTCATCATAGAAATTGGGATCATAAGGCTGGGCCCGTCCTTTAATTGGAGACTAATACAAACAAACAAAACAATTCCTCAAATCAGACAGTTCTATTTCAACTGGTGTATTTAATTATTAAAATAACACATTTATGCATTTGGAACATGTTCTTGATTTCACAATGCTGCCAAGAAAGGAGATGTTGATGTGCTTCCTGCGAACTTAACTATGACAGTAAAACTACTCAGATGTGGCACATACATTTTGTTTTCCTTCCTCTTCAAATCATTCATTCTGACGACATGCAAAGCATAAATGGCCCACTACTACCAAAAATTGCTCATAAAGTGTACCCCAATTCTAAGCAATAGAAACAGTTCTCAAGGTTTGTAACTATCCATTATTTGCTGCTGGGAAAGTAGGAGGTACTAAATTTAAACTAGAAACTGAAAGACACCATTTTTCATCCAATTAATGTATAAAACATCCATGAATGCCAATGAAAGAATAAAAGAAATTTAATAAACATTACCTCAGAGATAAGATCCAAGATAATCTTGATGCACTCAACAACTCTATCAGGTTTTCCACCAATAAGCACCACTCTGTCAGTCGAATGAGGACAACACTCTTGAAAGAGCTTAATAGTGGTCTGAGTGTTCTGCAGAAGAAAAAAAAAATCCAAGATTATCAAATATATTTTTAAAGCTTTATAAAACCATTAAAATATTTAGAAAACAGATTCAAAAGACAATTAAGTTCCCACTCACTTAAATCTGCATGCTTGCTTTTGTAGTTATCACACAAAATTTGAAGATTACATATTTTTAAGATCTTGCTGCTCTAAGTTTTGTATGGAGATGAAAAAAAATAAATTCTCTCCTACTTTAATTAAGATGTAGCTGTGATGAATCATTTAATAAAGTATTAGAAGAAGGACCACATAACCATTGTGAGCTTATAGGTTGTATTAGCTTTCAAATTAAACATGCTCTGGATGCTAAGACAGCAATGTTGCTAGGATTGTGTCTAGTTATCTTGCCTTTCTTAATCCATACAAACAAGTATTGGCTTATACCTGAACTGACCTGAACCTGCCTGACACAATGCCAAGAAACTCAACTATGTGTTTTCAGTTCAGAGACCGTTGAATTTTTTTTTTAGAATCTTACTCTTTCACTTAAAAAAAGATGGTCTTCCAAGAGTTAGAATTAAAAAATACATAACCAAACATGAAGTCTTTCCACAGTAAATCCACTGTGGAGATGCTTTCATTCTCGACTGTTTTCTGTGTTCAACCACACAAATAATTCTACACTATGCAGCAGTTTGTTCTAAAAGGAGAAATGAATACAATTTTAATAAAATTAAGTAAAAATTCTTTCTTTAAAAACAGTACTCTATAAAAATACGTTTAACCAAGTCCTGGCTCTGCCACTGACATTAATTCTGAGGGTCTGCAAGAAAGTTGAAACTCCCAGCTCTGTCCCACAACATCAAAAGCATGTATGCAACATGTTAAGAAAGAATTACAACCAGCAGATACTTAGATGTGCCCCTTATGAACAGAAAACATTGCTTATTGAACAAAATGAATTCTCAGAGCAGAAAGCAAGTACCTCTCTGAGTTCTTTGATTTTAGCACCCTTGACACCAATAATGCCTCCTGCCAAACTCTGGTGAATAAGAAGTCGAAGTTCGCAGTCGAAGTCACTGCCTTTGTAGTGTTGATACTGCAAATAAGATGCATATAGGGAGAAGCAATAAAGATTAATCACAGAAGTTCAAAATATTTGGGGTTTTAAGCTTCTTCTTTAAACAGAATGGGGCAATTCAATTATTGCTGAATTGAAGTCATGTATTTCTTTTGATACAACCACAACAATTTAAACACCTCACCTCAATGTGAAGTATCAGTTTTCCCTATTTTTTACATTATTTATTAAATTACACTGCACTGCTTGCTATAAAAATTCAAGAAGGCATCAAACAGTGTAACACATTTTTTGGGAAACAGGAAGGCTGTTCAAAATGTTAGTTTAATAAACAATGATAATTTTGCCCTCTACCCAAAAAAATGCCAACATGACAGCCATAATCCTTCTTTAAAAAGGCTTTTGGCATTTTTCACTTTTCTAATTTCCTGTGTTTAAAAACACAGAACAATCTCATTCAAAAGCTAATCTTTTCATTCTAAACAGAAGAAAATTTCAAGATAAATACCTCTTCTAAAGTAGGGATAATCTTCTTCAAGATTTCTCCAATTGTCTCTATATCTGCACTTATACTCAGGATGCTGTTGGAAGCCATGATGACAGACAATATGGAGAAGGTAGGAAAGAAAAAGCAGAAGTAAATTCTTTTTATCATCATGCACAAAATTTTAACAAGATTTACTACAAGGAAGAGTTTACAAGTATTCCCCATTTAAAGTAAACCTGTTTGCTCAATTTACAACACATGCATCTTCGTTTATGCCCAGTATATATGCATGAGAAATTTAAGATTAGGTAGGTCTTGCAGAGAGAGAAAGACAGAATGGGCTTTTGGAAGGGCTCAAATTAAGTGGGCAAGAAACTGACGCAGAACTGAAAAGTAGAAAGTGAATACTCATGTTCCCCGCCACCACTAATTAGGATACCCTCGCTATTACATTCGTAGAACTGGCACACCTTCTCATATTAAAAGTGAGGATATACAAGTGGTGAACGTTGTAGCTGGAATAAGGTTATGGAACTCAGATTACTAATGGGCCCTCCAAGAAAACAAATACAAATGCAAGACAAAAAAAAGACGAAACAAATGAGAAGTGAAGGAAAGCGAACCGGAATTAGCACTTCATCAGAAATAATTATGAACAGGCAATGTTGAGGGGAGCAAGGTGGGCCACAAAGACAGAGCGAGAGACTATTTTGAACCAATCTGATTTACAATGCAGCAAATATGCAACACTTGAAGCTGTGCTCCTTCCATTGAAATAAAATTAGTGGATTGTTTGGGTGGGCAACTCACGTAAAAGTTCAGTGACAAAAAGACTTAATGGGGAAAATAAGACAGAAAACTTGAAAAAAAACAATACACCGTCTATAAGGGGATACTATTTAATTATATCAAAGGCAGGTAATAAAATACATTTCTCTCTTTCTAATCAGGCAGTGAGGCATAAACTGTTGGGACATACCGCTCAGGGCCACTGCTGTCTGGGACTGAAACACTTGCATTGTACTGCATTGGTCATTGGCGTTCGTGGATGTTGGCATTGGGCATGGGCATTCAATCAGTAGTTGTCAAGTATGGTACCCGTTTGGCAACGAGCACATTTTTGGGCATAGCCAACCAGGGTTTTCACATGGGCGTTCAGGGGCGGATGGGCCAACGTCATGGTGGGCAACGCAGGGGCAAGTCGATCCAGTACATGGGCAACGGAGATATATGGCCAAAAAAACAAGGAGAGGGAAAAGGGGGAAAAGCAATAAATTTTAATTTAATACAAACTATACTCATTACTCTCAATTAATGAAACAAGCTTAAGTTGTTCTGAAGACTAACACAACAACGGACTGCTACACCAACTGTGGCCTAACAGTATGGACTTTAAAAATGAGTCACTTGATCTGACTAAACTACTATTTACTTTTAATAAATGATGTTTCAGTAGCAGGCTGGCTCATGAGGGTAGACGCAAAAACTGTCAAGACTGGTAGTACTAGAACCTTGGGCAAATTGGGAAAGTTTGTGTTCCAGACAAATCTAAATTATCTGGACATAGGTGACATACTGATTTACTCAAAAAAAAACCAAAACAAAAACCAAAACAAAAAACCAAAAAAAAAAAAAACCCCGATTAAAAAAACCCTAAAAAAAAGAGGAACAACTAGCTGCCAAAGTTAGTGAGCATATGTATGATTCCTGACCATTTCAACTATAATCTCAACTCTAGCTGCGGTAGTTTATGAACTTAGTTGGAACTGATTTGTAATGATATACTGCCAAATCTTGCGCTGAACAGAGTCTTGATTGGAAAAACCGTTGAAATTGTAGCTGATGTTAAGTACAGGAGTGTAAACAAATGGAATTTAAGAAGTGTTGCCAAGTTTTATAAATAAACAACATTAACGCTGAGCATGTGTCTAACCACCAGAGTCAACCCCCTGTAAAACGTGAACAGGCATTAAGTCATAACCATTTAAAAATACTTCCAAGTAATAGAATACAATGTTCCTTTAGTGTTTTATACTCATATTTAAAGCAAGAAACCTTAGTATTAATGGTTTTGTGCTTCACGTGCAAGCTGTTAAGGAACAGATGGATGATTTCATTTTGCTTTTTTGAAGGAAATTAAAGAATTTCTCTATCACTGGGTTAAGCCAGCCACCTGCAAGGGTTTCAGCAGTACTATAAGCGATGCACACATATGGGCAACGGTACTATTAAGGGGTTTAAGTTTTGTCGGTATTTTTAATTAGGATGGTAACTCACTTCAAGTGTGTAATTTAGCAGAATCCTATTAAAAAGTGAAGAGATTTAATATAAACCTCTCCTCCCATGCATCAAGCTGGGTTTCAATTCAAACAGAAATTGAAGAACTGTTATCTACTCTGACAATCAATACAGATGGTTTGTAACTTGGATGTCTATAGAGTTGAATTGCTCCCATTTCTAGAAATGCACGCAATCAAGTTTTCGATGTAGTGCTCTGAAAGAAGCAGTGTTAAATTAGTTCAAACTCATATATACTCACGTCTGTACGAAGTGCTTTAATATTTTTGCCACCTTTTCCAATCACTGCTCCAGCATTCTGGAAAACAGTTTTCAGAAGTTACATTATGACAATTCAGCACAGACCAAGTTTTGAACTCAAGACTAAAAACAGCAGACCTATTTTTGCTGGCCCAAGAGTTGGGTGGAAGCACCACCTGGCATTAAAAAATTTACCAAATGCTCTTACAACCACAGAACACAGCACACAGAGAAAGGTAACTCAGCTTTGCCGTTAATATTTCAATTCCAAAGAGAAGTTTTAGGCAATTCTGCCCATGTTGAACTTCTCATAGACTAGATCTATTAAAAAAAACAAACTAAATGAGTGTAATGTAGGCCAACTACTTCCTCAATTACCTGATCAGCTTTTTTTTTCCCCCTTATGGAGTGTGTTTGCAAATTCCACTTTTCAGCTCCAAACAAAGTGCAAGTATTGTTTTGCACATCAGTAAAGTAATTAATTTCTCAGAGCAATATAAACTGAAAAAGGCTGAAATGAACGCTAACAGCCACCAACTTCATTAAAGCCACCAACATTAACAGGAATAAACTGACAAATAGTAAAAAATGGCAATTGGAAAACCACATTTTACCAGGTTCTTTCAAGAAGTCTATGAAAAGTATTGCTTTTATAACACACATACATTATGCTAACAGCGTGCAAAATATTTAATGGTACTCCAGGTACCTTGGGTATTGGTCAGAAATGTCATAGAGTTCAGACAACATTCTTTCACGTCAACACAAAAGACTGAGATACTTCAGAAAGTATAAATCATCTGTAGCAACTGGAAACACCAGAGTAAATTCAGACACAGCAACTTTAACTATTTACACTTGTCAACAAAATCACTGCAATCCCTGAAAAACTACTGCCACACTTCCTCCTGTTGATATGGTTGAACAAGTTTAGTAGATCTATTTGGGAGAATTACTAAAATCCCAAGTTCTCATCTCACATATTTAATCTAAAATCACTTGTTTATAATCCTCTAAACACCTTCTTTTACAAAGACTCATATACAGTCACTCCACTCGAAATAGCTACCTTCCACCCACATGTAAAAATATCTTAGACTCTTTACTGCCCTACTTCTTAGCAAGTATGTATTTTTAATAAACTCTGTATTGATCCTTAGGGCCTTACCCTTTTACGACAACTCAGAAGACAATTCCATTGCAATATACCTACAACTACCATTCCCGAAAATTCCCAATAAATTACTTCATTTCAAAAAAAGCACATAATCTCTCTACACATATCTCAACATACACTTTGTCACCACCACACTGAACAATGCTACACACAAACCAGTAAAAAAGCGTACTTTGCTCTGAAGCAAGATGCGCAGTTCAACCATCTCATCAGTGTTCCGAGATCTTTTGAAGGCCTGCTCTTCCTCCATATCTTCTGCAGGACGTTTGCCTGTAGAGAGGTCCATAGGGGGGAAACATAAACATCTATTTAACTTTCTAAGTCATAATGAAGGGGAACACGTGCCAAATTTATGCTCTGCACTTTTAATACATTCCTTCCTATTAACACAAAACTAATTACACACGTCTATTCTGAGCATCCAAAGCACAGAAACTAGTCTTCACATCAACAGCTTTCTTACTGATTAACAACTGAAAATGCATTTAAAAATCTATGAACTATGGCTTAAATGAGAATGTTGCACACAGGCAGTAAGAAATTCACAACATATTAGACACGTCCAAAGGAATGCAACATCACCCACTTAGTATTTATTTATAATTTCAATTGGGGAAAACATTTCAAGCATAAAGCTCAAATGTAGTTTGTCCAACACCGAAATACTGGTGAAATAATAGCAAAGTAGAACATCAGATGCTCTGGGAAAAACTGGCATGAATCAACAACAATAATGCCCAAACTTCCCTGGTAATTCCCGAGAAATTTTCCATTAAGCTCTTTAGCAATATTTCATATATTCATAGTCCTGCATGTAACAGTTACAATGAAAAATATGCAATTAACAGATACACCCTATAGCATTCCTACATATGCACATTCTCCATACAGATATGAAATATTTTTCAGTATTTAGTCACAACTTTCAGTTCTCATGTCTAAAACATATCAACAGAAAGATTACGTATTTATACTTCAAAAGCATATGTAATGACACATTAATTAAAATAGAAGATATTTAATGCAGAACATAAAATTACTGCTGATGCAAACATATGGCAAAGGTAAATAATTATAAAATTCTTTGAAATACTAAAATTTTTAAGAGGGTCTTTCTAAAATGAATAGTCCTTTAAAAAATTTACCATTTGTCTCTGTGTTGGTAAAGGTCTCCTCCTGTTGTTCAGTCTCCATTGCCTTTTTTTCTTATGTAGGCAAGCAAAACCTGCTGAGAAATAAAGACAGTACATTTTTTTGTCACAAGACAAATTACACCTCATGCTAAAGTGGAAAAAAATAACAAAAATAAATGCCTGCTGCTAGAACTTACCGCTGTTATATATCCTTGCTGACAAAAACTCAAGTACTCTGGGCGGGATCAAAATCCAACAGCCTATTGCTTCAAGAGCCTATGAAAACAGTATATATCAGTTGTGAGTCTTCCCATGTTGTGAGTATGATCCTGCTACAGTCAGAAACCAAAGGGTTGACCTAAACTATTGCTGCAAATTTTTTCCTTATAAAAGAAAAAGCATAGCCAAGCCAAACACACCACTAAGAGAAGATAAAGGCAAAATCTGTAGACTTACATAAAGTCTTAACATCTGAATTACACTTTTTGGGCACACTCAAGTTTTAAGTAACCACATAATCTCAACATTATATGATATGTGCCTTGGTTTCACTTTCTAAAGGGCACTACACCAAAATCTGGTCCTGCTATTTAGGTCAACACTATTTATATTTAATAAGAAGTCCTGTTATGGTAATCATCAGACTTTGTTCTACAAATTCTCTACTAGCATGCATTTGAGCATGTGTTCCTCTCAACTATAACTGATGAATAAAATAAAAACTACAACTTCCAACTACACTAAAATAACATATTTTTAAAAATATCACCCTCTGCACTTACATACAAGCCCCTGCATGCACACACCCCCAAACCTCCAAAAGCACCTGTACTTCAGTACAATTTTCTGGAACAGACTGTGACCTGCTTTTAGCTACTAAGTCACATTAGCGAGAAGCATAAATAAAAAAAACCCAAACATTCCTCCAACTTACTATCATTAAAAATGTGATTTACAAATACAACCAAACAATCACATATTTCCCCTCGCATTCCATTAACTTCCATAGCATCAACAAACAGCAGGCATTCATTGCTGTACCATAATCGGGGGAGGGGGAATGGGGGTGGGGAAGAAGAAGCTGATTCTAACTCACTAAACGTACTCTCAGACAGCTATGTAATTGCTGCCCTGCTTGTAGGGGCTAAAAGCAGGCTCTGTCTTCCAAACACATGCCGGCATTTCCAGGTACTTGAAGCGGGCTAATGGGCATGCACAAGTTCAGTAATAGCGGGATCTCAGGCAGACATTGCCAAAATTGTGATGCTAATGTGGACGGGTAGCAAGGAAGACACAGACAAAGTGTTAACAGCCTCCTCAGACACCGGTTAATTTCCAACCATCCCAAGAATTTTAAGGCAGCGGGGAGCAAACTGTTATCAGTTACAGTTACAATTCACTGCTTAGTCTCCCCTAGTCAAACTTCCCCATGTGTTCTCAGTAATCTCGCTCAGCTAGGTAAATCGAGGAGACATTAACATAAATAATAAAGTCAGGTTCCTTATGAACACCGAAGGGCTAAAGCGGCCACGAGAGGTGTAACCAGCGACCACAGACCTAAGAAACGTCAGAGCGCCTCCAAGGTGCAGCGGCACATCTTGCCTGCCCCTCTCTTCCCCCGCTCCTTCCCTGCATCTCCAGCAGCCCGCCCAGCGCGGCGGGGACCGGGGCGAGCACGGCGGCGCCCCCGCGGAGCAACGGAAATGGCGCCCTGCGAAATGGCGCCCGCCGGCCCGCTGCGAGGCGGAGCCGGGAGCGGAAGGGCCGCCGCCACCACCACGCGGCCGCGGGGAGCGTTACCCGGCTCGGCCCGGGCGGACACAAAGGAGGTGCCCGGCGGCCCGAAGCAGCGGGCGGAGCAGGGTCAGTCCTAGCGCCACGGGCACTCCGCCCTCGCCCTAAAGCGGCGGGGCCGCGACGCGGAGCCTCCGCCCCCCGAGCGGCCTCTGCGGCTGCTTCCGCGCAGGCCGCGGCCCAGAGCGCCCTCGCTGCGCCCGCCATAATCCTCCACAGAAGCTCGCCCTGGGCAGTTACCACGGACGGGCGCGGGAAGGCGGCCGCGGACGCCGCGCCCCCGCCCTTGGAGTGCACCCCCTAGCGCTGCGAAACCCGCGCCGTCCCCGCGGGGCAGCGGGGACAGAAGCCATCTGAGGGCACTCAGCAATAGCCGAGGCGGAGACACACCAGTGTCCTCCACGCAGCGTTTTCCTCATTCTACCGCCGACCCCACGGGAGCCCTGGGGCCACGGCAGCCCTCGGCGGTTGAGGCCCCAAGACAGGAGACACAGGCCGTCTCGCACCGCTGTGTCACGCAGTGTCGCCGAGCGGAGTACATCGGCGGCTCTAGCGGCCCAGGCAAGGCCTTAACCGGCCTATGCCCTTCTCCCACCCCCCGCCCCTCCTCGCCGGCCCCGGCCGCACGGCGCCGCGGGCTGCGCGTACCTGCGCCCGCCACCGGCCCCGCCGCGTACGGGAGAGAAAGGGGAGCAGCCGCGGACTCCGACGCACACATCCACCAGCGCCACCCGCGATTGGCCCCACCACCGCCCCCCGCGCGGCGCCGCCGTCGCCTCGTTGGGTGAAGCCGCTGCCCGTCAGCACAGGAGGCGGTGCCGCGACCCGCACCGCCCTCCGTGAGGGAAAGGACGAAACGTGCCCGGGGAAAGGGTGGCGTCGCTAGACCCGTGCGGCGGCCGGCCGGCTTGCCTTTCCTACCTGGGCTGCGGGAGCCGCGCTGGGAGCGGCGCGGGCTGACAGCGGGCTGCCCAGAAAAGCGGGAGCGGCTGCGGCCGGGAGGCGAGAAAATGGCGGCCGCTAAAACCCCGCCTTATGCGTGCAGCCCGGCGCCGGCTGCGGCGAGACTCTCGCGATGATTGGACGCCCCCCTCCCATTGGCTGGTGGGTGCTCGCGGCGGTTTTGCGGAGCGCGGGCTCGGGCGCTGCCCGATCCCTCAGGCCGGCGGGAGCCGGGGCCGCCCCGCCGCCACCGCTCGCCCGCCCCGGTGAGTTGGAGCTCTCGGCCCCTCCGAGGGGCTGCGAGGTGCGGCCTGTCCTCATTCGCATCTTCCTCCTCCCCCGCTTCTGCTTCCCTTCCTCACCCCTTTCACCTCCTCTGTTGAAAGCTGGCGCTTTACTTGGGTTAACTAGGCGGTATCTTCCGAGTAGTGGATCTTTTGGCGGGAGAGCTAGAGGCAGGGTGTTCTTTTGTTCGCTCTAAAGACCATAATGCCAAAAACACCCCAATAAAAACAGCAGAACCCGCGCCTGGTGTTTCTTAAATGTTCTTAGTGTAGGTTTTGTTTTCGTTGTGTTCTGTAGAGAGACTGAGCTACTCGGTCGCCCTTTCTAAGCGATTGAACATGATCCATGCACAGTTAGGGAACCTGGTATCTTCATGTTTGTAGCAGTGACATGGATGGAGGAGTTGGCTGCACCATTAGCAGGTGTGCTAGCGATACCAGATTGGGAGGTGCTGCTAACTTTCTCGATGGAGGAATAACACTTCAGGAAAAAAATTTTCTGGGGGGTGCTGGTCGGCAGCAGCTCAGGGTGAGCCAGCAGTGCGTGCCCGGGCAGCCAGGAGGGCAAACCCATCCCGGGGTGCATCAGACACAGCATCACCAGCTGTGATTGGGATCATCCTGCTGCATTCAGCCCTGGTGCGGCCTCACCCTGAGCCCTGTGTGCAGTGCTGGGCCCCACACTCTGAGAAGGGTGGGCAGGTCCTGGAATGGCCCAGAGGAGGACAGCAGAGCTGGTGGAAGGGCTGGAAGGCACATCCTGTGAGGAGCGGCTGAGGGCTCTGGGTTTGTCTGCTTTGGAGAGAGGAGGCTCACGGGTGACCTCATTGCTTGTACAGCTCCCTGGGGAGCAGACCTGGAGAGGGAGTGCTGGTTTGTTCCTGGCATCCAACAACAGGAGATGTGGGAATGGTTCAAAGCTGTATCAGGGAAGGTTCAGTCTTGACAATAGGAATAATTTCTTTACCAAGGACAATAAAGTTGGTGAAAGGCCTGGAGAGTAAGTGGTGTTAGGAGTCATTGAGGGACCAGGAGTGGAGAAAAGGAGGCTCAGGGGAGATGTTATTGCTCTCCACATCTACTTGAAAGGAAATTTTTGTAAGGTGGTGGTCAGTCTCTGAAACAGACCTCAAGGTGTACCACAGGAAGTTCAGGCTGGACATCAGGAATTTTTCACAGAAAGGGTGTTTAAGCAATGAACAGGCTGCCCAGGGAGATAATGGAGTTACCATGCCTGAAATTGTTCAAGAAGTGATTGAACATGGCACTTACTGCTGCAATCTAGTTGGAATGGTGGTGGTGTTCAGTCAGAGGTTGAACTTAATGGTCTTGAAAGTCTTTTCCAATCTGAATGATTCTAGTTCTAAGAGCATGATCAAACACTGAAACAGGCTTCCTGTAGAGGTGGCTGATGCCCTAAACCTGTTAGTTTTTAAGATGCGTCTGGATGATATCCTTAGTAACATGCTTTTACTTTAGGTCAGCCCTGAATTTGTCAGGTGGTTGGACTAAATGATCATTGAGAGTCCCTTCCAACTGAAATACTTTGTTCTACTCTGTTTATGCAGAACTACATCCTAAGCTAACAAGAAGTTAATTAGCCAGTGATGTCCTTGAAATGATAGCTGCCAAGCCTTGGTACTGTTGCAGCCAAGTCCTGCTCTGGGTCTCTAGATAACAATGTTTCAAAGCCTTTTTTTCTGTTGTCGGGTACAAAGCTTTCAGTCACGGACTGAAAGTCACTCCTCTGATACAGGTGTTGATAGACCTCAGCTTGGTTCTATAGATCTTCTGTTCGTAACAGTGCTGATGAAGTGGGAGGGTAACATCTCAGGTCAATTTCTAAAGTAAACTGTGTTAACAGAAAGAAAACCATAAAAAAATAGGAAATATATATTTAAAACCTTCTGCTCTTTCGGTTTTGGTTTTTTTGTCCATTCACTTTCGATCTGTAAGAAAAGGGTTTCAATTATATGTTTCTAATTTAATCAACAGAAAAGAAGTGTGGTTGCTTGTATAAATCTTCATACTTTTCTTATATTTTGTACATAACTTTTACGATGATAAACGTTTTATGCTGATTGAAATGTTAAATGTTGGAAATGCCTCTGAATTTCATTGTCTGTAGAAGTGCTTTTAATTTAATTTTTTAATGCAATATAAGCATGAAACTTTAAATAATATCAGTTTTTGTCAGAAGATTAAATATGTCTTTTTGAATTCCATTTTAGGGAATTCAGTCTCTTACCATAAAAGAAAATGTCTACATCTAGCATTGTAGCAAGAGTGGAAACATGGCTTTCATCCACATGGCACGTTAAAGTTCCTTTAACATGGCTGGAAGCATGTATTAATTGGATCCAGGAAGAAAACAGTGGTAGTAATTTAAGTCAAGCTCAGATTAACAAGCAGGTATTTGAGCAATGGCTTCTTACCGATCTGAGAGACTTGGAATATCCCATTTTGCCTAACTGCATCTTAGATACTCCCAAGGGAGAGTTATCAGGCTGCTTCTCCATTCAGATTGATTCACTGGTGGATGTTAGCCAGCCAGCATATTCTCAGTTACAGAAGCTAAGAGGGAAAAGCACTGTAAATGAAGAAGTGACAGCCAGTACTCAGACATTTCAGAAGCCTTGGGAAGCAAAGCCTACTCGAATGCTGATGCTACAGTTAACAGATGGCATACATCAAATTCAGGGCATGGAGTATCAACCAGTGCCTGTTCTCTGCAGTAATCTTCCTCCTGGAACAAAAATCACTGTACAGGGCAATATTGCATATCGTCTTGGAGTTCTTCTGCTTAAACCAGAAAATGTGAAACTGTTGGGGGGTGAAGTTGATGCTCTTCTTGAGGATTATTGTCAGGAAAGAGTCCTTGCTAGGTTAATTGGAGAAGCTGAAAACCCTAATTCTGTTGGACAAGCTGGACATGAACAGATTTTTTCAAGACCTGTAGATGAGTTAGAACAAACTCTTGGCCCTTCAGATGAAGAGCTTTTAGCCAGCCTCAATGAAAATAATGAATTTACTTTAAATAACAGAACATCTTTAGAAAGTGGATACTGTAGTAGAAGCAACAATTTTAATACAGCCTCAGGTTCACTGACTGCACATAGTGGAAATGTTTTGCTACAAAGATCTGGAAGTCCTTTGCCTCACTCGGATGAACAAGTTTCACCTCCCATAGAATACGCTGATGGCTTTTTAAATGACTTTCCTTTAGAAGATGACTTGCTTCTGGAAGAAGAGATGCAAAGAGAGATGGAAGAAGTGCCACCAGTGGAAATGAACAGAAACATAGATTTATTTACTGGCAGACTTCCACATATATCTAGAAGCCCCTGCAATTCATCTTTAAATGGCACTGGTGAAGAAGACAATGTGAATGAAAGAGATAAGCCGGGGGAAACTATCAGCAAGGAAAAGAGCCTGAGAAGAACAATATTTGATGAAGATGGAAATAGCATTAGTAACTTCTTGCCGCACAAGGGCTTACATCAGACCTGCAGTTCATCAGCTTTCTCTTTGGAAACTCCTCCTGAAGAGGGGCAGAATTTTACAGACCTAAATGAGAGCAAATGTAAACACCAACTCAGTTCTGACAGCAGGGTATTAAATGATGATCCTGTATTTTCCTTAAAAGTGGATCGAGAAGGAGATCAGCAAAGACGTGATTCACAGATCTTTCCTTGCAAGGCAGTAGAAGCACCTTTAGATTTAGATTCTCCACCTTTCACATATATTTCCCTTTTCCTTGCAAAAAAACCAGAAACTGTTACAGTTCTGAAAGTTAAATGTTTTATTGTCACTCTCACTGGAAACCTGACAAAAAGCAATGGATCCTGGGGTATAAAGGCTAAAATTTCTGATGGCTCTGCTTATCTTGAAGTAGATTTTGCTGATGATATTCTAACAAGTTTCATTGGCTTTTCAGTGCCTGAAATTAATAAGCTGAAAAAGGATCCTGCTTTACGTCTAAAACTTAAGGATGGTTTAGAGAAATGTCAGAAACAGCTGATAGATCTTTGTTGTTTGATGACTATTGAGTTTAATCCATTTCAGTCTAAAGCTACTGTATTAATTCTCCAGGATGCTGATGCTAGGCATCTAGAACAATTGAAGAAACGTTTGAATAAATAATATGTGCAAATTTACAGACTATAGATTAGGAAACGTTTAAGTCAGATTTCCCTTGAAGAGCTCTTGAAAGTTAAACTTCAAGTTAAGTGGTGTGTCTTTTATCAGGAATTATAATTTAAAAATGAGACAAGGAGATGACTTGTTGGAGCAAAACTGGGCAAATTGTTTCTTATGGTGACAGTATTGGAATAAGATTTTGAATATTTGTATATTGACTTTTTCATTCTGCAAAATCCTGCATGTTCTAAACTGGTAATCCTCAGTAGCAGAATTAGTCAGGAAATGTATAACAATGGACAAACCATTTTGTTATTTTACTTTTTCAGGTACTTACCTGATCTTTAAAAGAAAGGTGCAGGAGACTCTCAGTTTTTTCTTGGAGAAAATCAGTTGAATAAATTTAAATCAAATACAGACCCTTCTGTCTATGCCAATCTGAAGACTGAAATCTATATTCACTGTGCAAGAACCTAAAGTATAGAGAAATGAAAGATTGTCTTCTAAATATTCAGATGTGA